ACTTCATTTTTTGCAAATGTGCAAAAAAATCTTGCTCTCTTTCTCATCTAGTCAATTCTGGGTATAGCAACGAAATTTTCCTTCCTTCCCTCTTTCTGTCTCTACAATTGGGCAGAATCAGGACAAATAAATAAATAACCTTCATTAACAACTACTGAATGAAATTAAAAATGGGTGCAGAAGGTACCAAATTTGTAAAATTAATTGATTTCCCAATTTGCATATTCCAAACATTTTCAGACCAAACAAAACATAAATTGCTCTGAGGAATTTTCATAAAATACTTTTATCGAGAGATTGGATTATTATTAAGCAAATAAATCTTCTAGCTGTTGCATGCTTAGACTCAATAGCTACCCAGTATAGTGGGTAGAATATTGCTCACATGGGAAAGACCTATGTTTATATCTCCCTTTAGCCTGAATTACAATATGAGTAGTCTCAGCATGATCAGGCTAATTAAATGGAGATAACCTATGTATGTATGTTCACTAGAGAGCCTTGAAGGAATTGCAGGATGGAAGTGTAATTGACAGTTGCCTAGATGAGTATGTGTTGCTATTAATTCTCACAAGAATTGGGTATATATTTGTTTAGGGAACTATACATGTTAGTTTAAATCAATTAATTTCATTATGGAATGAATACAGTCATAGTTTTGATCCAGTGAATATCTTCATCATTCTGAAATTGTGCACAAAGTCATATTTATTTGAAACACAGAATTCTCTCACATATGCCACTTGGTATATATCTTTCTGTAATATATGCCTTGTCACATATGTTTTCATTCAACATCATAAAATGCAGAAAGTATGGGATTTTGGAGGACAGTTATTTATTTATTACATTTATATGTCACCCATCTCACTGTTAACGGCGAACATACGGTTATGTTCAATTTGCATAGCTGAGAGGAATCACTCAGGTGTTGCTGCTTAAAAAATGCAATCAGGCTGAACAGATGGAACCAAGCTTAGATGGAAGATTAAATAATGTAATGAAAAAAAGTTTATTTTTAACTTTTAACTGGACTTCAGTCTTGTGAAGCAAAGGGAAATTCCAGATACGGGTTAGCTACTCATTATATTGACATCATTTTTGAATGTTAGTGGTCAATTGTTATAACAACTGGATCAATGGTGAAATTCATTTTTTTTTTACTACAGGTTCTGTGGGCGTGGCTTGGTGGGTATGGCAGGGAAGGATACTGCAAAATCTCCATTCCCATCCCACACTGGGCCCAGGCAGAAGTAGTATTTGCCAGTTCTCAGAATTACTCAAAATTCTCACTACATGTTCTCCAGAACATGTCACAACCTACTGAATTTCACCCCTGAATTGGATTGATGGCTTTTGTTTTCTATTGGTCTGAACAAAAGAGTTTTTAAAAGATTTAGAGTCTTAAAAGATTTTCCAGAGTCCATTTGATTAACAAAAAAAGATTCCAAGGAACAGTGAATGGATAATTTAAAAGTCCATGGCTATTGCTCTGACTATTAAAAGGAATGGCTATTGAAGACTTTATAGTTCTGACATTCTTGGTAATGCAGATATTCTTTTGGCTTACATTTTCCATCAAGGTTTGCCAAGACCCAGCAACCAATGATGCAAATAGCAAGGCATAGCTCCACAATCTTAGTTTGGAAGGTTCATCCTTGAGTCCTTTTAATATAACTTTTATTCTTTCCAGCTACTACAATTGCTGTTCACAAAGTATCTTTAAAGGGTCTAATAAAAACATATATTTTCTTCAAATTGGTATCCTCTCCTGACTAAACACCTCTGCCAGATTGTTTCTAGTTCACAAAGGTATCAGTTACTAGCGAGTTTCCCCAAAAATATGACAGGGTCTTATTTTCTTTTTACCTACAAAATATGGCTTGGTCTTTATTATGGGGGGGGGGAGAGTTTATTGTTTTGGGGTTGCCGGGCGGCTGCTCTCTTGCGAGCAGGCTCCCAAAGAGATGGGCACAGCCTCATGGGCAAATGGCTGTGTTGCGCTGTCGCAGCAGCACAACACAACAGCCATAAAGTGACCACGCTCACGATCAGCCACCCAGCACACCCCCTTTGCAGCTGGGTACAGTGCCATTAACTGACCTAGGGGTATTGCCAAGCCCTGTGAGCACCTGTTCACCGTTGCCCAGCTCCCGCGGCTTGGCACCTTCCAAATGCCAGTGAATGGGGCTCTGCATGGCTGCAGAGGGGGGTTGTGCGAGCATGGCCCAGCTCTCATTACGGAGCCAGGGCATCTCCACCATCATCCCAGCATGGATTTTTCTGTGGCTTCCAACCCGAGTCTTTCGGCAGTGGTCATTCTGGGCGCATGCTCTATGGTTGTGTGCCAGCTGCCTGTAGAGCATACAACCATAGAGCGTGCTCCCAGAGCAGCCACTGCCAAAAGACTCGGGTTGGAAGCTGTGGAAAAAGCCAGGCTGGGATGGCGGTGGCGGCAGAGGTGCCCTGGCTCTGTAATGAGAGCTGGGCCATGCATCCTGAGGCTGGGAGGTGGGTGAGTGAGAGCAGAACAGCAATTCCAGAACTATTATTTATGTTTTAGCCTCTAGTCTCCTAATCATCTTTGTTGCTCTTCTCTGCACTCTTTATAGAGTCTCAACATCTTCTTTTGCATTGTGGTGACCAAAACTGACCAAAATTGGATGCAGTATTCCAAGTGTGGTCTTATCAAGGCATTATAAAGTGGTTTTAGTAACATGTGATCTTCATTTAATCTTTGGGGTTGGCTATAGTATTAGGTTTATACAAAAACTAAGTTTATTGCGGCTAAAGTTTAGAGGGGAAAGCAAATTATGGAACAGTTTTTATGTAAAAAAGAATTGTGTGCCAGCAGAGTAATTTGGAAATATATTTACTGATACATTATACACATCCATAACCAAAACTTCCAGATTCAGCCCATGTTATTTCCAGTTAACAAAGTTCCAACAATAGGATAAGGAAATGTCAGAAGTTGCCAATCAAGGTAGTCAAAATTGTACAAGGGGGTTTACCAATAATTTAACCTAAAGTATAAAGTACTTAAGTATGTTGATTTATTGCATATCATCAGGTCAATATCAACAGTTAAAAACCACATCATGATGGAAGGAAAGAAGGAAGGAAGGAAGGAAGGAAGGAAGGAAGGAAGGAAGGAAGGAAGNCTTTTCCTCATGACTGGTGAGGCCACGCCTCCCTTGCCTCTAGTGACTGTACGTCCCTGGTGCACATGATGTCATGCTCTTCTCCTCCAAGAAAGGCTAGGTTTTTTTTCCCTGTCTGAATCAGAGTCATCAGGAATCTTAGAATTCTTTAGTTTGTTAATAATGACATTTCATAGGTCCGTGATGGTGCGCCTCCTGCCGGCCAGCTGGTTTTCGGGTCTCTGCCCTGCATGTGCGGGAGTGCATGTGGGAGATGCATGCACATGCATGCGGGGTTGTCATGCGCACATGTGGGGGTGGGTGGGAGCATGGGTGTGTGTGCGGTGTGACCAATTTTGGTCCCTGGAGGCTGCAGGGAGGCCTATTAGGCCCAAAACAGGGCACCGGTGTGTGTGTGTGTGTGTCCCTCGCACATTGCATTATGGGTGCAGGCTTTTTGCACACAACACCAAAAAAAAGGGCTTTCGGCACACTACGACAGCCATCACGGTCATAGGCTCTTCCCTACCATTCCCTGAAGACCTTAAGGAGCTTCCTTAAATCTGGTTCTCTTGGAGCAAATATTTTCATGATGGCATGTTTCTTACTGGAATTACATATGTCCATAAGCTGCAGGTTTTTGTTCTTTAATAGAGAATCATTGTTTATTTCCATTTGCTTAACAAGTTGCTAAATTTCAGATTAACTACTCGCATTTTAGTTTTGCTCAGACGGACTTTTATTTGAATGACTGCTCACATTGATTGTTTCCATATATTTTAGAAATCCGAGTTTAAACAGATGACTCTCTCATTTTAATGTTTTAGTTCTCTGCTGAGTTTTATGGAATGTTGCTCAGAAAAAAAAAAACATTTGGCATAAAATTTTCTACAGTCAACCATTTATTCTTACTGTCCCTTCAGACTGAAATACGTGGATATTTTCAAGCAGTGTTTCCCAAACCTGTGTAAATTACCTAAAATTGATCAAAAATTGTTTTTCTTTGACACATGAATCCATTACCCAATCACAATAGGAACATTTAAATTGATTTAAATCCATATTGGGTAAAAAGGACTTTCTGTAAGCAGTTTGAATAATAATGGAAAAAGTTTGGCTATCATTGCTTTAAGAGAATATACCCTAATAACACTCAAATTTCTATGACAATGTTTCATGGTCTGAATTAAAAACATTATGCAGTATAGCATGCCAAAGAGAGAGAATACTGTTATTTAAAAAGTTACATACAAATAACTTTTGAAATTTGTCCCGGGTTCTAAAGCAGGGGTGTTAAACTTGATTTAATTGATGGCCGCATCAGGGTTATATTTGACTTCGGAGGGCCGGAGTGGGCGTGGTCAAGGTGGGCATGACCAGCATGACATCACTCATGTCGGAGGGCGCCTGTGATGGCCCAAGTGCTCTGACAGGGAAAACAGGCTCCCGAGCTCCGTTTTCAGCTACAACAGCCTCCTGCAATCCTCTGCCAGCAAAAACGGAGCTCGGGAGGGCCATGTGCGGGCCAGATTGAAGCACTCTGCAGGCCAGGTTGGCCCTCGGGGCCTTGAGTTTGACACCTCTGTTCTAAAGCAATGTATGATGTCATGGCATTTGTGTTAGACCAAATACCTATAAAAATAATGTAAAAAATATGTACTGTAGTAGGCAAATTGTATGTGTGTAGTGGATTGTGCATGAAAGCATGTAACAAATTTGTGTGTTGCAGTTCAAAAAAACCCACAAATTCAATAAAGCAACCCTGATAGATCTGAGAAATGAGGAACAGAGAGAAACTAAATCGGGACATTGCAAAAATGGTTACATTCACCTAAGCTTAATTAGAATAGTACTCACCACCTCCAGCACTCCCTTCTCTGCGGGCACGGGCACTGCCATTTCTACCAGACCTGACACGCTATGAATGATGGAAAAGACAGAATTACTGTTTAATGTCAATAATGATGACAGCATTCTTTTACCTGAATGGGACAACTTGCCACAGACAACTCACTGTGGACAGCTTGCCGCAACCAACTCACCACAGCCAATTCACCACAGGACAACTCACCGTGGCCAACTTGCCATGGGAAAACTAACTGCGGGACAAGAGTTACACTAATATCACAGAAATGGCAGAATGGAGGGACAAAATGAAATGTGAATGACAATAATTAAAATATTTTTTTAAAAAATAATTACATTGAATTGTTGAATTGTCCTGCAGTGAGTTGTCGTAGACCCTTCTTTTACACAAATTATACCTCACAATTCTTCCTGAGACCACTTACTAAGTTTTAAGGCTAAGAAGGTTGATTGGGAGGGTAAATATATGTGCATTTGTCTAGCTTAATGCATACTCCACAAAATACAATATCCACTATATTGCCAAAAGTATTCGCTCACCTGCCTTTAGTCGCATATGAACTTACAGTATTTAACCTGTGATTATGACTTCCTGACTGAATTGCTATTAGTATTTTTTCCCCCTTTGGATTCATTGTTGAGTCACTGACACTGCATTAGTGCCTATAATGTGGCTAGATATTTCCTTAGTCTACTCCATGCTTCACTGATTTTTTATTATCCTACAGATGCATATCAGTTATAACGTGACTTCTCCAACTTAATGACTTTTTCATTATTCTTTGTGCTAATTATAGTTTGTCTGGATTTTATCAGACTGATTTTCATTTATCTGTTCTGTATTAATATGAGTATTGGGTAGAAAATTTGGAACAACATCCATTAGACATCAGTCAGCAGAGATCTGGAGCACGCGGCATGTCCATATGGGAATGCATGGGGCAGATAGAGGGTGAGGGGAGCAGATAGTCCCGCAAGTAGCTCGGTTCTATGGTATCTAAAGCTTTAAAGGCAATAACCAGGAAACTTGAATTGCACCTGAACATCTATTGGGAGCCAATATAATAAGTTCATATGCGAGTAAAGGCAGGTGAGCGAATACTTTTGGCAATATAGTGTATTTCTCTGAACTTCTTGGATTGTGAGCCTTAAACATTAATAATGCAATTCCATCTCTCAATTACGAAAGACAGCATTGCTTGAATGCAAACACTACACTGACACATTATGATGTCTAATTCTTGGGAACAACTTGGTGCATATGAAGGCCAACACCATCTAGCAGTTGTGATTTCATATTGATGTGTATAATAATAATGCATCAGTTTTTCAAATTTTATTTATTTATTCCATTTCTATAGCCACCCATCTCTATCCAATTGTCTGAAATGTTAGAGGGCTGCTTTTTCCTTTATTCATTCCCATAGCTGTGGGTGAGGAGGAGATTGTGAATAATTTAAACAGCGGCAGGCAGGCATGATATTGTTTCATGCTGCTTTGCCATTAGTTGAACCACAGATAAGAATGTGCTATGACAGTTATGGCAGCCATAACCAAAGTGCTCAGTGTTTTTATTTATCTTTTGATAAATGTTTTTATTGTCCTGATTTAAGGTAAACACAAAGACGTTTTTACCATTATGTGCTGTAGCATTCAAATGCTATTTTGGTGGAATTGTATTATAAGAAAGTCTAGGGATTTAACACAAAAAATATTCTTAAGAGTATTTAAATAACTTGTGCTTCTAAAAATGACTTGTACCTGTTCCCTTAGTTCTTTCAATTTTTCTACTCTCTTAAGCTTTGTTGCATATTCTTGCATTTCTTTCATTCCCATATCTGTGCAGAGTCGAACTAAGAACCGTAAACCTAGAATATCATATGTACAATATTAAGATCATAGCAAAAGAACAGTATTTTTCTTCTAGCATTAATATGTGGTGATGGTGGGGGAAATGTGGAAAAAAATGAACGGGAGTAAAAATGCATTCATGTGTGCAGCAATACAATACAACACAACACAGTATGGATTGGCAAACTTTTTCTGTAAAGGAGCAGTTTCCTTTCACTCCTTCATCTCTGCAGGTATAGATGGAAATTTTGCAAGCCAAGAAGATCGGCAGCCATTTGACAATGCCAGCTTGCCAACAAGAAAGTAATTGAATGGAAAATATTTCATTGTGGCATTAAATTGGCTAGATTTCATAGCACCCCATTTGAATTCTTAGACAACAGGAGTTATTAGAATCCTGCCTGCAAAATCTCTTTTTGTTTTTGTTAATGAAAGAGTGCGTGTATTTTTCTAAACTCTCATATTTCTATAATGCCAAAAGTAAGAGGGATAGTTTTTAAATCTATATTTATGAATACACACACACACACACATATACGTTTGTGTGTGTATGTGTGTATGTGTGTTCCAGCATAACTCTGGAACGCCTCGAGCAATTTCAACCAAACTTGGTACACAGATGACTTACTCTCTGGAAAAAAATACTGTGGGGGTTAAGACACCCCTAAAACCCCTCAGGGTGTGTGTTCTATTAAGATACAGCCTGTTGTGCTGTAAAATGGCTTCTACTGAACAGCGCAGTTGAGTTGCCATGGTAACGACTTCACAGTACTCCACAAGGGGGCTCCCTTTGGTAAGGGGGAAAATCCAACATTAGAAATGCCGTTTGGTCTGGACATTTTCGCCCTATAAATATATACCTAGGCAACACCAGGTTATCGGCTACTGGAATATATTAAAGTGTTTTAAAAGTCACTTTTAATTAGATCATCTATTATCATAAACATACTTATTAGTTAGTAATGCCTATTAAATATTATGGCACTTACTTCCTACACCATACATCTGAATGTACTTCTAGAGAGTACCTGTTCTTGACAGACATTTATTAACTCTTGTAAAAATTCAACTTGTGCACTCTAGATTCCATCAACCTCATTTGCTTTCTAACACATTTGATGCCCAGCCATATAACAGAATTGGAAGAGACCTCGGAGTCCTTCTAGTCCAACCCGCTGCTCAAGCAGGAAACCTATACCATATCAGACAACTAGTTGTCCAGTTTTTTCTTAAAACCCTCCAGTGTTGGAGGGAAGTCATTCCACTGGTTAATTGTCCTCACTGTTAAGAAATTTCTCCTTAGTTCTAGGTTGGTTGTCACCTTGATTAGTTTCCATTCATTGCATCTTGTCCTGCCCTCAGGTGCTTTGGAGAATAGGTTCGGTTCCTCTTCTTTGGGGCAACCCCTTAGATATTGGAACCCTGCTATCATGTCACCTCTAGTCTTTCTTCTCATTAAATTAGACACACCCAATTCCTGCAGCAGTTCTTTGTATATTTTAGCCTACAGTACCCAGTCATCTTTGTTGCTCTTCTCTGCACTCTTTTTATGGTATTTCCAATAATTTCTTGTGCATTTTAAAGATCCCTTGTAACAGGTCTTTCCCATGCCCTGCAATGCAGATATTGTATTCAAAGAGGGCTTCCTCTTCTTAAGACACCTGGAAAGTCTATTTGTGCAGGAGGTATGTGTACAGCAGAGACCCAGATGATAGAAAGGTTGCTTTACACCGGGGGGTGGGTGGGTGTCAAACTCACGGCATCACGGCAACGTCATGTGATGTATCAGGACTTTTTTTTCCCTTTCGCTAAATGGGCATGTGACGCAGCCGGCTGGGAGTTTGACAGCCCTGCTTTATACTTACTAGGATAGCTCCTAAGTCTGTGATGAATGGCAAACCCATGGCACATGTGCCACAGGTGGCATGTGGAGCCATATTTGCTGGCACACGAGCTGTCAGCTCCATCATGCTGGTCACCTGATTTTCAGCCTTCCGAGGGCCAAGGGAAGCCGTTTTCGTCCTCCCCAGGCTTCAGGAAAGCCTCCGGAGCCTGAGGAGGGTGGAAACTCCCCCCCACGTGGGGAGGGGCATGCACATGCACAGATTGCAATTAATTGTGGGTGTGGCCACGCGCACGCATGATAGCACACACACAATTGCCACGTCTTTACAAAAATGTTCACCATCACTGCCCTAAGTAGTGAGGCAAATATTTGTGTATGAAATAATCCAGCAAAAAAGTGAGATAACTATAAAATGCAGTGAGCATTATATTAGAGAAATTACTTACATTCAGCATTATCTGGAAACCTTCTGTGAATTGTCTTGTAGGTGTCCAGAGCTTTTTGATAGTTACCTATTAGCCAGTAAATAAAGAAGGAAACAAGCTCAGATAGATAGACCAAGTTATAGATAGGGAAAAATATTAAAACTAAAATGTAATAGGTTTGGACACTTACCACTTCTTCTATAGCAGCTGGCAACCATCAATTGCCATTTCACCTGGGTTGGTCTGTAAAATACACATATCACAATGCAATACAACTGAAAAGCTTTCCTTAAATATCTAGCATATGGATGAAATTAATCAAAATGAAACTGCTCAGTGTGAATATTTTCTTGGACAAGCAAATGATTTCTTTCTCTCTAAGGGAGGGTAAAATATGCATCTGAAGTGAGTTTCAATGCCAATTTATAATCTGAAAAGAACAGCACTGAAGATCTTACTCTATTCTGGCTGGATGAACTCCAACCATTTTTAACACTACTTGGTCCAGCTAACAGGAACCTATGTGTTGCAACTCCTTTATCTGGAGAGCAGAAAGCACATGCATATGAATTATTAGATGATTATATTATCTCAGCATCACAAGTTTTTGCTTCTTAAGTCAAACCATACATTCACGTAATTTATATTATTACGGCGCCTCAGAGAAATTCTGCAGCCCATTTTCCCCGCAGCCCTACCGAGAGATGCTGTGAGTGATATTTGGCATATAATCACTGATTTTAAAATTTAAAACAGAAACTTATTTCTCAGAAAGTTGATAATAGGAGAGATAATTATTGAGATTATACATTTAATGCTCAGTGTAACATATCAAGGGCAGCAAAATTTATTTGAAGCACAGCTAGAGGCCAAGGTTATTCTATTGCCTTCTTTCTTTAATTTTAAAATTGAAGTTCTTCCTGCTGTATCTATAACTATTGATTCTGAAATGCTCAACAATGCTTCAAGTTTCTTTAAGTACCTCTATTGATTTACATTCATTAGGGGTAAATACTTTTCTATTGGTCGTTTCCTAAAAGACTAATAAAGTGTTTCCTGAATTACCAAGATATAATTAAATCATAAAATGTATTTTGATGTATTATGAAATTCTGACTAAGCTTCATTTAAAAGATTCCATCTTTTAATAGCATAACAATAAAAAGAAAATGGTTTAGTCCTGTAAAATATATTTCTGTTAAATCTTAATACTTTCATGAGCTGTGATTGCCTGATTCAGACAGAATGCTTTTGGCCATTCCTTTGACATGTTTATTGTCACCACTAAAATTTTTAACGTTTATCAAATAAACCCAATGGTATCTAGTCAAAATATAACACATATTCTTGGATAAACTGGCATAGTTTAAGAGAATTGACCTCTTTATATCAGAACAGATCTAGAAAACTAATCCAAAATAACTCATCCTTCTAATTGTTTAAAGAGTTACCTGAATTTTCCTTAAAGTTAAATCATAGTACAACTATTTTAAAAGCATAAAAGAAATACTGAAAATAATACTTGAAAAATCATCCAATTTTCTATGCCTAATTTATATCAGTGATAACAAGATTGCAGAAAATGCCTGTAGAAGTGAAATGACTCTCAACATACAAGTGCTGTGATTACTCACTGAATAAGTGCTGCTCTTTCAAAGTAGTGAATGGCTTTTTCACAAAATTGTGTGTCAATATAATAGGCTCCAAGCCATTCTATGACCTCAATGTTTGAAGGGAAATACCGATAGGACTAAGAAAATAAAAGGGTTGAAAGAAATGCAGCATTAGCGATAAGTTTTATTTTGCTCCTAGGTTACACATTTATGTGTAATTCTCCAGCTACTGAAAATACATAATACATGCATGTATAAAAGTAATGTACTAATACATTCATTAATCACTAAAGAGAATGTACACATTTGCAATTAACAGAAAAATTATGACATTTGATATAAAAAATTGCTTATTTCTTGCATATTTGATTTTCAAGCATTTTAAAAGTGAAGTAAAGAATCACTTCCTCACATTATGATTTTTACTGGTCAATGATACTGTAATAAAATATAGTATATTACATTTGTTGCAGTGTATTACAATTACAATGTATAATGTGTTTCCTTTGAATCTATACAGTAGCCAAAACTGATTTATTTTGGATAAGCAAATTATATAGCTTAATAATTATGATTGAATAGTTTGGCTTAAATAAGCAACATTTATTTTTCATAAATCAATAGACAATGTAGGAAAAGAGCTCTGGTAGCCTATGGTAGCTAAACCTGGTGGCCATTTCATGCAAAGGAAAACAAGACCCTTGAGGAGAAAATTTATATAAGGTGATCATCGCATCACCTCTCACTCTCTCTGCAAACAATTCAAAATGTTGGTTGCTGGGGCAAGGCTATAATGAGAATATTTATTTCTCTATTTCTCTTGATCTAAATTATCTCAAATTTTCCAAAAATCTTTCATATTACCATTGTGAATGACAATACATTGTATAAGGGAAATTAATCTATTTAATCTTTTATGAGGATTTTTTTCCATGTGAAGAATGAGATTAAAAATCAAATGTATCTGTTGTATTACTGAATAAAATGTTTTCTCTGAGGATTCCATCTTCTTGGCAAATCAAATATATATTTAGCATTAGAATTATTTTTATTAATCAGAATGTTTAATCCTTATGCTCTGTGCTTTTTTAAAGTATCAAATTAAATTTATTTTCACTTACATAATATGCCTAATGTACATAAGAAAATGCAACAGATTACGCTTCCTCAATAATGGACCTCAGATGCACCAGATTTTAATTCCAGTAAGCCCCAGATAACATGCAAGATGAAGGCTGGTACAGAAATGTAATTTTTTAAAACACCTACCTCATAATAATATTGAAAAGCTTGAGACTTGTCGCCTTCACTATCATAGAGTTCCCCAAGTTTTGCCAATGCGTGTGAGTCCGTGGGAACAACGCTAATAAGTTGCATAAGCCACTCAATGGCCTGATTAGGATCCTCCATTAATTCATATCTGAAATATGGTCAGTTAAGGAATATCTTATGAGGACTTTCTCTATACCTTGCAAGGTTTAGTTGAGCACTGCTGTGCTCCAGCTGAATTCCATAAGACCTGAACATCTAAGAGTTAAACATTGGCTTTGTGGAAAAGATACATGCTTGCAATTTGGAAGAGAACCTGGGCACTATTTCGAAGAATTGCATGGAGCTTCAGGAAAGAATCCAATGCTTCATCTAGTCTGCTTAACTTTTTGTATGATAAACCTGCAAAAAGAGATGTTTATTATGAAAAATATAAATAAAGTGAGGTAAATTACATTTTCTATAATATAACTAAATGCCACACATGCTCAAATGTTATCCATTTTGGGAGTCTTCTTAATAATAAGAGTGCAGAGAAGAGCAACAAAGATGATTAGGGGACTGGAGACTAAAACATATGAAGAATGGTTGCAGGAACTGGGTATGTCTAGTTTAATGAAAAGAAGGACTAGGGGAGACATGATAGCAGTGTTCCAATATCTCAGGGGTTGCCGCAAAGAAGAGGGAGTCAAACTATTCTCCAAGGCACCTGATGGTAGAACAAGAAGCAATGGGTGGAAACTAATCAAGGAGAGAAGCAACTTAGAACTGAGGAGAAATTTCCTGACAGTTAGAACAATTAATCAGTGGAACAGCTTGCCTCCAGAAGTTGTGAATGCCCCAACACTGGAAGTCTTTAAGAAGATGTTGGATATCCATTTGTCTGGAACGGTATAGGGTTTCCTGCCTAGGCAGGGGGTTGGACTAGAAGACCTCCAAGGTCCTTTCCAACTCTGCTATTGTATTGTATAATAAAACTGATATAAATGCTGACAAAACTCTGATACGGAGCTTAGCAAGCAGTTTTGGCATCTTATGACACTAACTAGAAATTGTGGATGAAAATGTCATGGGAGGGCTTCTGATCCTTTGCTTTATTCCATTCCCTCAGAGTGCCAAAATGGGGTAATGATGGGTCTTAAAAACTCTTTGATTTTTTTCTAAGGCATCTACAATAAACCACAATAATTTCAAAATGACATGTAAGCAGCCATCCACTTATAACTATTCATGGAATTATGACAGCCTCAGAAAAAGAGCTTTATGGCCCACCTTATACCCCCATGGTTAGCACTTGCCAAGCACCTGGCAATCATGTAATTGTCATTTGCAAATTTCTCTGCTTGCTTCCCCAGAAAGTCAGTGGGGAAACAGGCAGGGAAGTTTGTAAGCTGCTGCTGATGCTCTGTTAAGAGAAGTCTCTCTCATCTCTGGGTGCTGGCTGAAAGAGCTGCCTACTGAGGGCAGTTAAATTCCTTCAGAGGGGTGGCTTTTGCCTACACCTGAACATACCATCTTGGCCTTCCAATTGTGAAACACCCCCCCCCCCGCTCCTCAATTAAGAGCAAAAACTAGCTCTTAATTTCCGGTTTTAAAAATGACACATCCAGAATTCCAGTCATCTCAAATTTCAATCCAAATTGACTCGTGACTTACCAATATTATAAAGCGCTTCGGTGCATGACGAATCATTCCTTAATGATTCCTTATAAAACTCTGCTGCTTTCTCATAATCTCCATTTATGAAAATGGTGTTTCCTTTATTTGTCAGAGCAGCTGGATTGTATCTGTCAGAATTTACGGCTAAATCTGCATAATTGCTTGCTTGCATAATCTCATTTTCCTAAATTAAATAAAGAACATATCTTATCTGGTTACTGATGCTTTGGAAATTAATCATTTAAAATATATTTTTTGATTCCAGATGTAGCACTAGCACTTAGACCTATATACCACTTTGTATTATTTACAGCCCTATCTAAGCAGTTTACAGAATCAGCATATTGCCACCAATAATCTGGGTCCTCATTTTACCCACCTCGGAAGGATAGAAGGCTGAGTCAATCTTGAGCCTGATGAGATTCAAACTGCCAAATTGCAGGCAGCCGGCAGAAATAGCTTGCAGTACTGCATTCTAACCACTGCGCACTGCGCAAGGTGGCGCAGTGGTTAAATGCAGCACTGCAGGCTACTGCTAGATCAGCAGGTCAGCGGTTCAAATCTCACCGGCTCAGGGTTGACTCAGCCTTCCATCCTTCCGAGGTGGGTAAAATGAGGACCCAGATTGTTGGGGGCAATATGCTGACTCTCTGTAAACCGCTTAGAGAGGCCTGAAAGGCCTATGAAGCGGTATATAAGTCTACTGCTATTGCATCACGGCTCTTGGTATAGATTCATATACATAGATTTGTTAAGTGTAATTTCAAGCCTTCAGTTTTTATTAAAACCATATTATCAGATTTTAGTATCTATTAAGATTATAACCCATTGGTCAAGTGATATAACAGTATATCAACTTTCTAAATATTTTTCTGTCATGGTTTTAAATACCGTAGATCAAATTCTTACAAATTTAACGAATCCAGTTCAGTTATCTTTTTCTTCAGACATTTGCCTACCAGAAGTATTTCTACTCCCGGTTCCTTAGAATTAATCTGAAGTTCCCTTCATTGCTTCCTTCCTCTGAGAACCCATGAGCCAATAAATATTGCCTTTAGCTGACCAATTAAATATTAGGAGAAAAGATATTTAATCAATCCTGTTTCCATTATCAATAGTTTAATTTTATATTTTGCATGTATTTTGCTGATGATTTCCCCAAAGATCCAAGCGGTCGTAAAAGAAGGGAATTTCAAAGTTGCCAAAAGGGTATCATTCTAATCTATTTTAAGCACCTATTAAATAATACATCTTGGAAACTTGCCATGGCAGAAATGGATAACCTGTGGCTTAAAGTCTGTGTCACTTAGATGTCAACATGTACAACTGAACTCATTGCTCTGTCACTTAGAAAAGCAGATTGATCTACTTGAACTTTGAGCTGTTATCTTTAAGAAAAGAAGCTTATTTCACTTGAAGTGAACAATTTCAAGATAATTAACTTTCAATTTCAAGATAATTAACAGTTAGTAAAATGTACTCCACGGTTATTTGTTCTTAAAACTACTGACTATATTTAAAAGTAACCATATGAGAAAACCCAGAGATGCTTCATATCTTCAGACTCAGTTCTTTTTAAAAAAAATCTTTAATTACTCACCAGAAAGTATAGAAAAGAAAGATTTGTGGCAGCTGCACTTTTAACTCTGCTATCCTTTTTTTCAAACATCTTTAAAGTGTCAACGGCCTAGAAATAATTAAAAAGCAAAGTTGCTCTCAATGTAAAAAAAAACAAAACCCTACTCAGCTCTACTGGATAGTTGCAGAAGATGAGCTGCTTCTGAAGACTGTTCTAAAACTTCAGTTAGTGAAACTTCTAGTTTGAACTACCGTATTTTTCAGAGTATAAGATGCACCAAGATTTTGAAGAGGCAAATTAAAAAAAAAGTTTTTGCGCTCTGCAAACCTCCCAAAAATGGCCTGTTTTTTGTCCAAAAAAAAAGGGGATGCATAGGCTTTAGGAGGCTTATAGAGTGTTCTTGAGGGCTGTGGGGGGCAAAAACGAGCAAAAAACGGCCGGTTTTCCGCTCATTTTTGCCCTCCCCATCCCCCAGGAGTACTCTGGAAGGCTCCTAAAGCCTATGCATGGCCATTTTTGCAAAAGTGGCAGGGTTTTGTTAGGCCAAAAATGCTGTATTCAATGTATAAGATGCACCTAGATTTTCACCCTTTTTTTGAGGGAAAACGGTGCTTCTTATACTCCAAAAATATGGTAGTAAAAGTTGACAATAATGTTATTCCAAGCACTTCAGGTCTTCCAGTCCATTTCAGGACCAATTTATATACTTTTGCTAGAACTGCCAGATCTATCCAGGAAAAATCCATCTGTTCATTTGATGGCAGAAATGAATTAGAATTTTCTTTTGACTTGTCTGCATTTCTGCAGCCCAGAAATTGTAGTTCTCGTTGATATCAATCTTAAAATCCTTGAGTGGGTTGGAACCAATGCAACCCCTTCTGAGTGTTCTAGCCTGGACAATTAGCTCAGTCCTGAACCCTCTTCTGAAATCTAGTAGCAAGAAAAGAGAGGAAATCTGTATCAGAGGGTGGCATTGTGTGCTTCTAGAATGTTACCCACAAGACAGCTTGATCGTACAGAATCGTTCTTTGAGAAAGAAAATGGTGGGACATTGCCCACTTATGCTCCAGATGCTTGCTTCTCATAAGCTCAGGACAGTAATTTCTCTCAGGAGTGGCAGGAGATGAAGACAAACCATCAAGCTCTCAACATCAGTAGTGTCTTTGTAAGGATACTGGGTTCATTAACTTCACTTTTCTAAAACCTTTTCATAAATTGACTAATGGACTAAAGTAATATTTCAATGTGTTAAAGATATGAAATTATATTCTGATCATGATTCAATGTAAAAATTTACCAGTAAAATGTTTATGAAAACACTGTACCTGATTAAAATCTTTTTGCCGCAAATAGGTAATTGCTTTATTGATTTCCAGGTCATTGGCTAACTCTACGTACTGAGATGTTTTTACCATTTCAACACACCTTCAAGATAAAAAAAGAGATAATTTTTGTTCTTATAGTGAGTCTTTATACATTAAGAAGGCAATTGCTTAAGTTGATCCTATAAATTGATTTAAATACTTGACAATTTTACAGACCCAAATATTTAAAAGGAGATTCACTGAGTACTCAATAAATTACCAAAACATTAATAAGGTGAATTTGTTGTGTAGTTCTATTTTATAACAGCCTTATATTGTAATTTTAGAATTAATTCCACTCAACTGAGAAAGGTTATATTGTTTGTTACTATGCAAGATCCAGACATTAGAGCTTTCAAGCATAAACACACTATCAATAAAATACAAATTATTTCATTTTACTTCTTTCACTGCATATGACAATGACTTAATATCCAATCTTTAAGAAAATCAACCAGAGGATAACAGGTGAATAACAAAAGTCCATAGTTAAAAACTGACACCTACCAGTCATAACCTACTGCAAATGAAGTTTCAATTGCTGGAGCAATTAGTTTAGCAGCTGTCATAATATACTTTTCTGCTGTAGCTTTCCTAAAAAAAAAATTCTAGTGAAAAGGGGCAAGGCCTATATATACATAGTAGCTAACAGAAAACTATATTGAAGGAATTACTAAATAAATATAAGATTTAACTATTTAAATAATAAATACTAAATAAAAACATCAGCTAAGATACTTTGAAAGGAAATTGATTTGCATCTTAAGATAAGCTTTTAGGCTACAATCCTCCATTAAAAGTACTGATTAGGACACTCATTCCATCCTCACTTCGAACCCTGATTCTTTGAGTGTGGAAAATAAAGTAAAATACCAGTAGGCTCGGGAAGTTTGAAGATTTTGCAAAAGTATAAATATTTAGATTCGTCTACCACTCATCCAACTCTAAAGAGCAAAGAGTTAAATAGAACTGAACTTGCTCCGGGATTGTCCTGAAGGAACTTTTTTCAACAGGTTTTTCCTTGAAGACATTTCGCTTCTCCTCCAAGTTCTGAAGAAGCACTCCTCCATTGAATAATTAGGAAAGAAAACCACGAGACTCCATTGATAGAAATCAAGTGTACTTTTACTAATTATAAATGATCAGAAGCGTAGCAAAGCGAAGACTGATTATTTAGGCGCAAAAGCTAATGATATATAGAATAACCCATTCCCCACCCCTTGGCATCCCAATTACAGTCCAATCATAATTCTCCCAAGTGTCAGGTGTGAGATAACTTTGAAAGGCATCACCAAGATGGAATGTCGGTGCCGTTGGCCTTGGCGGGAAACCTCCTCCGCATGCGTAGTAAGACAGGCAGCATAACTCCAGAATCTTCCTCCAGCACAAGTAGTAAATCCCTCCCAAATACCATGCCCCCCCTCCCCGTTTCAATGGCAGCCGAAGCAGCAGCAAAACAGAGGATGACAGATGAGAAGTGAAACATCTTCAACAAAAGACAAAGTCGTTGCCTTTGTAAAAATCTCCTTTGGGACGGACCTGGATGACTGAAAATCACCATAGACATTCTGTTCCAGGATTATGGAATATGACTAATATTACTAAATCATAAGAAGAAAGATGGAATAGAAAATCAGGAGGGGGGGAATGGAATCAAATACCTTGAAGAGGGAAAGATTTGACTGGCACCTTAACTAGGAAAATTCCACAGTGTAACCTATTATTAACATGTTACCTGTCCAGTTTTTAAACCTGCCTTCCCACATATTTTCTCAAACCTTTGATGAAATTGCAGAGGTGAAGAAATTTAGTAAATAAATGAAAATAAATTGACTTCTAACTTAGCATAACCAAAGTAGACAGACAGAAAAGCACACTGAATTCATTTACTTCTTCTGTTGCTTAAACATATCTACAAAATATGAAAGATAATGAAAGACCTTTGGAAATAATACAAGAGAGACTTACCTTTCATGTTCCATTTGCCGTAAGCTATCATTTTTAATAGCTTCTATCAACAGGTTTGTATGTGGATCATCCTAAGAAGAAAGAGGAAAATTTAGTCATTGAGGTTACGTAAAAAACAGGAATGAATATATGGACACAGAAATGTATTCATGAAAACCGTAACATTTAATATGTCATTCTCTTTAAACAGGGGTGGGATTCTACCAGTTTAACAACCAGTTCACCGAACACATGTGCACAATTCAGAGAATACTTACCTTCTGGATTGCTGCTTGGGAAGGAAAATTGCCACTCTGCCCCGCGTCTCTGCTGAGAAGATAAAGGTAGGTAAAACGCAGGGGCAGACAGGCGGGCCCAGATGATCATCAGGCGAATCGATAGAATCCCACCGCTGTCTGTAAACTATTTTTATTCAGTCAATAAAACCAAATTGCTTAGCAGATCTTTTTGCAAAATTTCAGCAGTCTAAGCAAAAGATTCATTTTTAAATAACCGAGTTACGTTTGTATAGCAGGTTAAATGCTTATTTCTGTGCCGAGTTGAGGATGTATTTCAGTTCCAAAAGTATCAATTTCTATTTACTTTTTTATCTAAAATCCCTTTATGCACAGAGGGACTTTATTAAATAATTTTGTAGTTATTCTGTCATTTATAATCTATCGAATGATGTACATGTCCAAATGAGAACTATTTAAATACTGCTAGAATGCAACCATTTCATCTGTGTAATAAACTTTACTTCAAAACTGCATTTAAAATATTTGTTTGTTAGGAAAAAAAAAGATCTAATGGGATGAAATTACTATTGTTACTATTGTTTGATATTGATCATAGTTTTTATGGCACTGTTACAGGGGTGGGATTCTACCGGTTCAAACCAGTAGCTCCGACGATCAGCTGGGAATAAACTGCTTCACTCCTGCCCGCCCATGCGCTTTATCTTCTCAGCTGAGTTGCAAGGAAGAGTGGATTGCTGAGCCTCAGCTATTTTCCTTCCAAAGCTGTAAGTGTTCTCTGAACTGTGCATGCACGCAAAAGCATGCACAAAGCAAACCGGTTGTTAAATTGGTAGGATCCCACCCCTGCACTGTTATACTATATGGAACATTGTTCCATATAGAAACTGTCTATAAATGGCAGTCTATGAATTTGTGCATACTTACTCCTTGTGAAATATATTTGTCGTCATCATCAATTTCCAATGGAACAGCAAGCAGTTTTTGGAAGGCTTTTTTCATTTGATCTCTGTCTCCAGTAGCAAAGTAGCACAAAATCAAGTTGAAGCCTGCTTTCAGGTTTGGTGATGTGCTCATAATGTGCTCAAAGGAACTAATGGCATCAGTATATTGGCCGGTTTTAATAAATGCAACGCCAATGTTCTGCATTATTTTAATCCTAATGAAATACACCATTGTTAGAATCTAATATTAAACTGTATCTTAAAATAGGTATCCTATGACTGTTGAACTCTGCTTAGAATACAGTCAAAAATGCAATTTAACACTGTGTAGAAGAAAGTAATAACAATACCAAAACAAAATAAATATGAAAAATTGCCAAAACCCCTCGGGGTGTGTGTTCTGTTAAAATACAGCGTGTTGTGCCTTCAAATGACTTCTACTGTACTGCTGTAAAATGGCTTCTACTGTACAGCGCAGTAGAGTTGTCAGGTTAAGGGCTTTGCAGTACTCCACAAAGACGCTCCCTCTGGTAAGGGGGAAAATGCAACATTAGAAATTATGTCTGGTCCGGACATTTCCCCCCTCTAAATAATTACCTGGACCACACCGGTTTATCAACTAGTATACAATAAAACATTATAAAAGTATATCATTATAAAAGCAATAACCACAAGTACAGAGGCATGTCCTACGAAAACATTTGAAAACAATATTTATTACAATTAAGAATGGATAAAAATCAACCATTGGCCATTAAAAACCATCAGAACTGTTTTTCTGCCTATCTAAAGCCAAGTAATAAAGTGTGATAATCTCATCTTCCTTAAAAGGAAAATACACAAAAAGGACCCACTACTGAAAAGGCCTTTCTTTAAGTTACACAAAGTTGGAACTAATGACTGATACGTTATATGGAGGAAAGCAATTCTTGACAAAATTGGCCTATTCATTATAGCCTTCATCCAATTCCCACTTAAGCTGTCTCCTGATCAACTAGTTCTTTATTCAATACCTTACTGGATATCAGGTAATGTTATAGGACATTTGCTATCTTCTCTGAGTCAACTAAGTTGGATCACACAGTGATGGATTCCTAACCGGTTTACAACCAGTTCACTGAGAGGGCATTTTGCACATGTGCTGCTTGCTTCGCGCGTGCCCGTCACAAGTTGCTGCGCATGCGCAGTTGACTGAAAACTGTTCTGTGCATGCACAGAAACATGCCAACAACAGCAGAAGAGACTGGGGAACCGGTTCGGGGGCGTGGCAGGCCTGGGTCACTGCCAGTTCCAGTGACCCAGGCCAACATACCACTACAGGTTTGGCCGAACAGGTAGAAACCTACCACTGATCACAAAGCATTATCAAACTATTAATGAGAGGTAGATGAAAGAGAATCAGATATCAGCCACCTACAACCCTTAAAAGGAAGACTTATCTGTAAAAGATACACAATTGTAAGGACACTAAATTGCTTTCCACCTTATTTCTATATGCTCTTTTGCTTGAAGATCCCACGTCATATAAAACAGGGCAGATAACCAAAATGCTTTCTTCTGTCATGTCTCCTTTGCTCTCAAGATAATATGAAGATAGCAGTGAAATAATCAAAATGCCATAAGTAGTCTCAGTTATAGTCAGCATATTGATGAGACCAACAGGCCTCTGTAGACAGAAAATAACAAATGATCAAATCTTATTGGAATTCACCTCATCTCCTTGTGGACACTTGCAATCTGATCTAGAGCCATTCGATAGAACTTGATAGCCTTTGAATAGTTCCTTTGTTTCAAATAAATATTTGCCATGTTCACTTTCAGCATACCTATAAAACAATACAGAATAAGATGTAGCTCATGTCCCAGTAATTTTCCAGAATATCATTTAGGCTTTATGTGGATATAAAACATATATAGTTGATTTGGAGAAGAGGAAAATAAAAACAATGAGCTACTTTGGACAAAAAAGAAAGGGAATGTTTGGCACCTTTATTTTCCAGTTGCATAATTATATAGACAGCAGTCTTTTTTACTTACTTTGGGCTGCAAGTTTATTTATTTATTTGCAACCCACAATTTCTATGCCACTTGAGTCAAACTTGCTTTGTTTATTTGTATCCTACCTTTATTATTTTTTAAAAAACAACTCAAGGCAGTGAACATACGTAATATTCCCACTTCCTCTTATTCTCCTCACAACAACCTTATGAGGTGAGTTGGGGAGAGAAAATGACTGCCCAAGATCATCCAGCTGGTTTTTATGGCTAAGGCAGGATTTGAACTCAGTCTCCTGGTTTCTAGCCTGGTGGCTTAACAAGTATCCCAAACTGGTTCTCATTTTACTTAAAAACATTTCAATAGTTAAATGCTGGCTTTATTGGGCCTGTCTAATTTACAGACCTGAAAAACTAGGCCTCAAGAAAAACCTCAATTCTTTTATCACTTGAGGATTATACTGGAACAAATATCAAAATTTAAATGGGGAATGGTATACAGATTTTTTCTGTAGCTTGTAAACTAGCGGGCAAAGTTGTCAGAACACATACTTTAAGAATACAATAATTAAATGCAGAGATTATCAGAGTTGTGATATCTGGACTGTAAAATATAGATGATCATAAGTTAACTGCAAAATTCAATTATTCCTGACTTAGAGGAACTTATTAAAACTCAAAAGTACTATACTACTTAGTAGTAGTAGTAGTACTAAGTACTACTAGGCAATCTCTTTTATTAAATAATTCACAAAAAAATGTTACTTCAGATTTGAAAGTATATCTGACAAATAAAAATATCTCACAGGGCTTATAAAATGGCACCAATTTCTACATTTGCCCAATATCAATGAACAGACTACGATAAACATTATACACTGTTCAGAATCACCTAGGTATGTGCTGGGTGGCTATATAAGTTTATTACATAAATAAATAAATAGTTCCCATTTGGTATAATTTGGTATAACAACAAATCAGCATGGTTTAATTTGATAAAAGTAAAGTACCTCCATTGACAAACATTTTGTTTTTTACAATGACCTGATACGTATTTAGTGCTTCTGCATACATTTCATTAGCAGAGTATTGGCTAGCCAAATTGAAGAGTACCTAAAAGGAAAGAAATGAGAATATTTCCATTGTCTTCCACAAGCAACAGTTTTAAATTTCTTCATCATAAAATTGCAGCAGTCAGTAGTGTAGCAACTATCTAGGAAAAAAAGAGAACTGCTGCCATTTGGAAGAAAACAGAAAGCAGCTACACCAAGGAAGAGATCAGAATAGCTATCAGCAGAACATTATTGAAAAATTGGTGTGGTATATCCTATTCTTCAAGGAAAGGGTTGAGAGATGTGGTCTTTTACTTCTGAGCCAGGAGCCCTTTGAGCTCAGTGGTACATTTGGAATTGCAAGAACCTGCTGTGAGGGCTTGTGCATGATGGGAATTGGCCATGAAGCCTTTCCCATTCACACAATGGCAACTCTGGAACCACAACTGATTAAAATGTAAAGGAAGTTAAGTGAAACTTGACACTGCTAGCTTCATGGTAACAAAGGAAAAGATTTCTCACTGCCTTTTTCCAGGATTTTTTAAAAAATATGGCAGCCTAGCCAAAACAATCACTTTAAAGCAGTCCCCCCATGCCTCGTTTTGGCCTGGAAGACCTCATACACCAACTGGAAGCCAAAATGGGGCACAGGGGTGCTGCATGAGCCCCCAAAATGCAATGCAAGCGCTCTTGCACATTCCCCACACCCCTGTGCATTTGCATGCACATCTCCCGTATGTGCCCCACCCTCTGCCCATGAGCGCATCCCCCACATGCCTCCTGTGCATGTGCAGCAGAGACCCAGAAACCAGTTGGCTGGTGGGAAGCATGCACGCAAGCGGGGCAGAGCTGGGGTGATGGCTAGCGTGCCCGCAGAGAGGGCTCTGCGTGTCACCTGTTCCCCATCATGCACCTACAACCTCTTCGCTATCTATTACACTCCCTCTCCAGTTATCTTTTTATTAATAAGCTGCTTCAAAGGAGGTGTGAGAGTGTTATCATTTCCTTCACCCAAATACTATCTTCCTGAGATGCACATCTATCAGATAAGCTTATGAAAGGACAAAGCTGTGTTATGGAGATACTGACAGATATCATGTTCATACCCATTTAGATATGAAGCCCTATACATCCCTACTACAAGGCATAGAATATGGCAACCAGATGCTGTTAATATATAGAGTTAGGTTTGAAGATACAGACCAGAAGTCTTTTGTTCCTTTCCTCATATTTGGATATTATTTTGGGAATCACACAAATTTAATAAATAAATCCATGCTAAAAATATTACAATATTATTAATATTATAGAAAAAAATGAAAATTACTACTAAAATGTTCTGTGTTGCATTATAAACAGAAATACAAATAAAATCGATTAGTATAGTCAATCTTTATAAAGCACTTTCCAGAATACATTTTGTATTTGTATTTAGTTTATTTGTATGCCGCCCTTCTCCAGGAGGGACTCAGGGCGGCGAACAACTCAGGTGCCAAATGTGGGGAAAATATGCTACATATAATTTATCTAAATTAAATTAACTAGTCAGAAATAATTAATTTAGTTCAAATTTATATGATGGTTCAACACCTATAGGCTTTCATTATAGTTTAGAAAGACTGGTCTAAACTAAAGTTTAGCTGGCATAGCTTTAATTTTGTGGGGTTGTTTATTTAGTAATATTGCTGTTGTTACTTAACCAAGGTTATATTGTATAAGATGGGTGGGCATATAAATCTTTAAACAGACAAATAACATATGCCTACTATCAATATTGGCAAGTGCAAGCCTACAGTTCTAGGATATTTTTGAGCCATCTGATTTATGTTGTTTATGGTCTTTAAATTCAAACATGCTGACATTCAATTAAATATAATTACAATACATGCCCTTTAATATGTACATACAAATATTCATCTGAGAAGGTTCATTCAGGTATAATTAACCCCATTCTTAAGATTCTGAATGTGCATTGAGTGTTTTATGGTTTACTTACAGTATATGTAAGATCAAGGTTAATATTAGCAGGAGACATTGTCTGTTCACGTTGTCTTACTAAGGCTCTTTCTTTTCTTCCAGCATCTTTCGCCTTTTCTAGAGCCTTGAAGAAAATAGTTTATGTTTCACAGGTGCCTTATGCCCTCTCATAGACAATGCTGCATAAAACAATTTTCGTACTGTATATATTTACACAAACCTACTTCTATGCTTATAAAATCACTAGTAAGATGCAACATCAACAAATACACTCATGTCATAAGGATACTCAAGTAGGGAATGCATCCCTCACTAGCATATTTTAATGCTGTACTTTGGTGGAAAGTGAGTTTACAAATTCTATTTTTGAATACTAAGGAAATCTAAAAAAAAACTACCATATTTTTCAGAGTATAAGACGCACCGGAGTATAAGATGCACCAAGATTTTGAAGAGGCAAATTAAAAAAAAAGATTTTGCACGCTGCAGACCTCCCAAAAACAGCCCATTTTTTGCAAAAACGAGCCCATTTTTTTTTTCAAAAAAAAAAAAAGGGGGGAATGAATAGCCTTTAGGAGGCTTGTAGAGTGCTCCTGGGGGGTGAGGGTGGGGGCAAAACTAAGCAAAAAATGGCTCGCTTTTCACTCATTTCTGCCCTCCCCAGCCCCCAGGTGCTCTCTGAAAGCCTCCTAAAGGCTATGCACAGCCATTTTGGTGAAGGGGCGGGGTTTTGGGAGGCAAAAAATGCTGTATTCAGTGTATAAGACGCACCCAGATTTTCAGCCTTTTTTTTGAGAGAGAAAAGGGTGCGTCTTATACTCTGAAAAATACAGTCCATATACCAAGAAAGGAATGAACAATTATTTAATTTGGAAGAAGGAAGCAAGAACTAGTTTCTATATGCTTCTTGGTAAGGGCAATTGTGGCAAATTCCTTTTCAACAAAAATCGGCATCTCTCATAGCATAGTTTTACAGTGTCTTTGGGTTTTTTCAAAGATGGAACAACATATTACCTTTCCGCTTGAAATCCTCAATGCTCTCATCAAGTATTATAGATAGATGGTTAAATAAACACAGAAGAAGCTGAATTCCAGCCCAAACTTAATTCTAAAACCCTCAGACTTACAAAATTGCAAAATATACATACTCTAGATTATGCACTCTTTCAACATTTCTTAGAAACAAATATTTTTATCATTTTCCATAAAAGGTTTAAGCAAATACAATGGTGTCCAGAAGCAAAAATATGAGCAGGCCATTTTATATTAGTATATTTCCCATATGAATCAATTGGTTAATCAAGGGAATTACACTAGGTTTTTTTTTTAACTTTATACATAATGGATGAATTCATATAGCTGCTATATTTAGATGTGATGAGATTTGTGCTGAATTTTTATCCAACTAAGATTTTTATAATGGCTCTCCATCTTTTATTACTATAAACAAACTGGCAATCTGAAAACTATAAAAGCAAGAATACAGCTTTGTATTTTAGGATGAAGTAATAATTTACATCTTACCAATTTTAAATCTCCACAGCTGTGAGCAATGCAGCTTTCTTCCACCAACTCATTCACTTTTTTTTCTAACAGTTTAATCTTTCCTTCTGGACTGAAATAAGGAAAGAACAGAATCATAAGACATCAGAAAAAACAAGGCAAAAAATCTACACTTTGGTACATATATTAGGTATCCTATATTACGTTCTGCTTGGGCTGCCCTTATTTCTATATATATTTATTCCATACAGATAATTTTGTACTCATTTTTCTAATTATATTCTCGGGTTGGACTATTTCTGAAGAAGAAATTCAAAAATACATGGTCCCTCAAAAGATTTCCCAATAACTTTTTGTAGCAAAAACTGTTGAGGTCAAATGATTTTTAGCTAATGAAAGATTCCAATGGTACTGCGAATGGTAGTCAATCTGATTTATGAAGAAATTATTTCCTGTCCACCTCCTAATTATGTTCCAACTACCCAGGGAAAATTTGAGAAGCATACACAATAGCATGAAGTGGAAACAATCTGACTTACAACGAGGACTGTTTAATCTGCAGACAAACACTAGATACAAAAAAGGCTGGGTAATTTATTTATTTGATTTATATTCTGCCTTTCTTTCAATAGCTCAACACAACTTCCATGGCAACCTATCTTCATCACATGAAGCTAGCCTGGGCTGAAAAGAAATGAGTTGCCCAAAATTATGCAGTTAATTTCCATAATTAAAAGTAAACAACCTGCCCCCCAATTCCCACCCCGTCATCCAACCCCTTACCTAAACACAATTGATATATCCAGTGGTATACTTTCAAAAACTAAAACACTGAAATTAATAATGAATCACATCTATCCCAGTCATAGGGAAGTATTTGAAGATGGCATTGTGGGACATCAAAACATTACCCCACAGTAATTAATCTAGAATACCAGTAGAGAAAAATGAAGATCCAGCTTTTTCCAATCAAATTCTGTTTTATTCAATTTACAATGAATGATGTATATGCTATTGATTTCCCCTCAAAAAAGACATGAAAAAGTAACTGTAATACTATCTACATACCTATCTTCATTCTTTGTTTCTAGAGGAGGAGCTGGGCCTCTTGCCTGGCCAAGAGGATCAAATGCAGAACCTACAAATCAATAAATGTAACTGAGAACTCTAGCAATATTTCTCTATTAAAGCCTCATTTTTAATGATTTTTAAAATGTATCTTTATTTGATATAAGTTCAGTGGCTCAGTGGCTAAGACGCTGAGCTTGTCGATCAGAAAGGTTGGCAGTTCGGTGGTTCAAATCCCTAGCTCTGCGTAACAGAGTGAGTTATTTGTCCCAGCTTCTGCCAACCTAGCAGTTCAAAAACATGTAAAAATGCAAGTAGAAAAATAGGAGCCACCTTTGGTGGGAAGGTAACAGCATTCCATGCGCCTTTGGCGTTTAGCCATGCCGGTCACATGACCTGGGACATATCTTCGGACAGCGCTGGCTCATCGGCTTTGAAACTGAGATGACCACTGCCCCCTAGAGTCGGGAACGACTAGCACATATGTGCGAGGGGAACCTTTACCTTTACCTTAACCTCTCTTTCTACACAAATATGTACATAAGGCACTCCCAAAATTAAAAATAAATACAATCCTAGAAGATAAAACTTTAAATTTAAATGATTTAACAGTTTAAAGTCTGAAAAATGAATTGTGTCTACAGTGTTTTCTAAATACCAGATATGTTGCACCAAGCACCACTCCTGAGGAAGGATGTTTCGTAATCTGGAAGCAATGCAGGAAAAAGCCTTCTTCTGACCTGGCATTGTCAGTGAACCTAACTTCAGCCCAGATAAGTGCATAACAGGATGAATGGCCCCCCTTAGATAGTGAAATCCTAAGCAAGTTGTTTAAAGCTCTAAAGGATAATATGACCCTTTAAACCGTGCCGAGTACAAGCAAGCAGTGCATGTCTTTAAGGACAAACAGCATGTAATCTATGTATCTTGCAGAATTAACAGCCTATTGCTGGATTTTGTATAAGTTGCAATTTCTAAACATTGTTCAAGGGCAATTTCAAATTTCCAGGAGTTAAAACAGGTCACAACTAAGGTGTGGCTAACTGTTGCTAAATCTGACTGGCTTAAGAAGTCTGATGCAACTGATATGCATAAATACATACATTCCTTATCATAGCTCCCCCCCCCCCGCCCCGAATCTAGAGTCAGCTGAGGATCGAGGAAACCACTCCCAAACTGCAAGTTTACTTTTTTAGATGAAATGCACTCCCATCATAAACTCCAGTACCCAAGTCCATTTTCTTATTGACCAAGAGGATCTCTACCTTGTTTGGCTTCAATTTCAGCTTATTCTCCATATAGCCAATAACTGAACTGACGCGACACTCAAATATATTAATTGCTTCCATAGAGTTGAATAACAGGGAGCAGCGGAGTTGGATGCTACCAGCATAATCATCTCACCCCATTCCAAATCTTTGAATTATTTCTCCCACCAGTTTTAGGCAGATATTAATACTCTGTGGGAAGCTATACATCAGGGGTACCAATCTTGATTTCATTGAGGGCCGCATCAGGATTGTGTTTGACCTCAGAGGGCCAGAGTGGGCATGGCCAGGGTGGGCGTGGCCAGTTTGACATTATTCGTGTCAGGGGGTGCCTGTAGGGGCCCAAGCGCTCTGCAAGCAAAAACATCCTCCTGAGCTCCATTTTCAATTGCCATGGCCTCCTGCAATGCTCTGTCCATGAAAACGGAGCTCGGGGGGGGGGGGCGCATTTTACTGGCAGAGCGTTGCAGGAGGCCATGGCATCCCGTTTTTACTGGCAGAAGCACTGCAGGCCACTCCTTCGCAATTTCCAGGGTGGCCCCGTGGGCCAGATCTAAGTACCCCATGGACCAGATCCATCCCCCGGGCCTTGAATTTGACACCTCTGCTATACATCTATAGCCAAAGTGTCATTTAGTCATTCTTTAGCATCACAGGAAGGACTAGAACTGTTTTTAAATCATATCCTCAACGGACAACCTTGTCAGGTGCTCTGGAAGGACACCATAGTTGATAACATATTAATGTATGTGTATATACATACATACATACATACATACATACACACACACACACACACACACACACACACACACACACACATAGGTATTTAGGTTGTCTTGGCAACATTTCGGCGAGGTCTCACTCGCCATATTCAGGCTGGTGTTTTCGGCTTAAAGCGTGGTCAGAGCTGCCGTCTTTCTATAAATCTTGGTGGGGGTGTGTGAAGTGCTGGTATTGTTTCAGTAAGTGGATTGATTGGTTGTGTGGTTGTATCATGATTGGTAGATTGGGGCTGATTGGGGCTGGCTCTGTGTCCGTTGTTGTTTTGTGTTGTAACTTCCTGGATGGTGGGTGGGGCTTGTTGACTAGGGCTGGTTTCCAGATGTCTGGTAGGCGGGAGGTATCGTCACAGCCCTAGTCAACAAACGAGCCCCACCCATCACCCAGGCCGTTACAACACAAAACAACAACGGACACACAGCCAGCACCAATCAGCACCAATCTACCAATCATGATACAACCACACAACCAATCATTCCACTTACTGAAACAACGCCAGGACTCCACACACCCCCACCAAGATTTATAGAAAGACGGCAGCTTTGAACACGCTTTAAGCCGAAAACACCAACCTGAAGATGGTGAGTGAGACCTCACTGAAACGTTGCCAAGACAATCTCAATCTTACATGGGAAAAGACCCGAATACAACAAGACCAGCATACCTACACCCGTGAAAATCTACGAAAACATATACATACATATATGTATAAATATATATACCTCTTGAAGCTGCTTTGGTGTAACCTGCTGCCTGCACTGCTGTCATAGGTCGAGTAACACCGTCCTTAAAGAATAAATGATGAAAATCATGAAGAAAGCTGGTTCTTACATCATTACTATATAATTCTCATATTAAGTGTCAGAATAAGACAAATACATGAAACTGAACTGTATTAATACTTTAACACGGTAATTTCAATTTGAGAATTTCAATAATAACTTGTAGTATGTAGGATTTTTTAAGTTAGTTGTTATACAAGTAATTATCAACTTACAACCATTTGCTTAGTGTCCGTTTGAAGTTACAGCAGCCCTGAAAAAAGTGACTTATGGCCGTTTTCACATTTACAACCATTGGTCAGATTGTCAAAATTCAGATGATTGGCAATTGGTATGTATTTATAACATTTGCAGTCCCCCGAGGACATGTGATCACCCATTGTGACCTTCTGCCCAGCAAAATTAATGAAGAAGCCAGATTCACTTAACCACCATGTTACTAACAACTGCAGTGATTCACTTAACAACTGTGGCAAGAAAGTCATAAAATGGGGCAAAAGTCACTTAACTGTCTTGCAAAATAAATTTGGGGCTTAATCGTCGTCATAAGTCAAGGACTCACTCTCCCTCCCTCCCTCCCTCCCTCTAGCTATTTATCTAGCTAGCTATCCACACACATACCACATACATATATATAAATATAATTTATTGTTCAATATTGTGCAATGAAATCATTAGATTGATTCAAAGGGGCTATTTGCATACATTTCATTTATCCCATTATTGTGAATTTACAGAAGTATTACAAATTTTACTACTGTAGGTTCATAACCCATATTTTAGGGAAAATTTTATTTTTCAAATTTGGTGCTATAAATGGAAATATACCTTTTAGGTAAGAAATTTTTATTAAATGCTAAAATTGAGTACCTAATGATATATTCTCATTTTCACTTATGCTTCATTCCTTACATTTAAAACCAGCTGTTTCCCATCATGACACAGATAGTCTTAGATTTACTAACTGCTGTCTATAAATTAATTTTAGCAAAAATTATAACAGTATTACCTGTAAAGCTGCTGTCATTGGTCTGCCCATTGATGAAGACAATGTTGTCTTTGACTATCATGATGCAAGAAAATATTTTGATCAATCATCACTCCAAGCTCTATTTCTAGGGGAATAAGCAGGTCTGGAGCACAAAAATCACTATTCTAGCAGCGCAGAAAGTGACACTGCTCAAATACCAATGCAAGAGCCATTTTTTAAATTATGTCTATGATATGGAATTCTCATACAATCTTCAGATTTATAAAGTATGGCGTTAGGAGAAATCTCCTAATTGTTATTTGTTTTTAAATATTTTTAAATATTTATATAAATTAAAACTGGTGCCAGAGAGAAGAATAGCATCTGGCTTTATTTAAGAGTTGCTGCTTCTGCTCTATTCATTTCCAATATCCATAAGTCACTGCCATAGAAAACTGCTTAAACTACTTTCTTTCATTTCTTGCAACAAATTCAGCAGTTTTATTCTTGGTCTTTTGTCTTTCTCAGTTGTGGTTCCATTTTCCAGCTCTCTTCATTCATAGGATACAACTTTCCCTAACTTGGGGAACATAAACTTACAGGGTTACAACTCCCAGAATTCCCAGGCGTGATGGTCATAACTACTACAGGTTGAGGATTCTGGGATCTACTTCCAAGAAATCCGGAGAATAAAGATTGGAAGGGTGACTTATATTCTGATTATTCCTGATTTCAACAACCTAACAATAAGTTGCATTTTCCTCTTTCCACTGCCAATACTTGATGTGACATAATGCATTCTAAAATGGGATGTGTTGTTTCAAATTATTGAAATAACTATCCCTAAGTAATAGTTTTTGGCTTTCTATCTAGCTTTCAAGAGACATCACCCCTCAACTCTGGAGCTTTGCTTTTCCCTTTCAGATTTTTAGTCCTTCTTGTGAGCATTCAAAATATGGGAGCTACATAATTTGACAGGTTGACTGGGATCAGGAACTTTGCACTTAGTATGTCTTGTTGGTGAAAAAGCAGAAGCAGAGAAAGAAGAGCAGGAGAAAAATATGCAGAGAATAACAACTTACCACATACCCTGTAGCTAAAGTCCGTGCACTTGATGTACCTGGAACTTTGGCCGTAAGCTTGTAAAAAGGAATTAAGTGTTAATTAAGCATTAAGAATTATTTTACAAGAACTAGAATGCAGTAGTTTAAATAGAATTACTATGTGTAATTACAGTGAAACTATTTAATTATCTCCATAAAATTTCATCAACCCTGTCAAATACTGTTTTAGCATCATCTTTAAAAAGCATAGAATAAACACAGAAGTTGAAAAACCACTCCCGCAATCCACTGCTATTCCCTTGCCAAGGAAAATGCATGAAAACATCAAAGAAGTTACCAGGACTTGAGCTTGATTCAAAGAAATCTTGAGTTTTGCTGTTTTGAACTTTTGGCACAAATCTTTGAAGAGAATTTGTTATCTCCGAAGAGATATCAATAAAATCTCATTATTGAACAGGTAGGCAAAGGAGAATCAATTGTAAGTACAAAGGTCCTGAAGACTTAGCTACCGTGTTTCCCCAAAAACAAGACAGGGTCTTATTTTCTTTTGACCCCCGAAATAAGCACTTGGCCTTATTTTCAGGGAGGTCTTATTATTTTTGAGGTGCAGGAGATGGCAAGCATGGTCACCTCATGGCTGCTGCTGTGTTGGAATATTTTCAGGAAGGGCTTATTTTCAGGGGAGGGCTTATTTTAGCATATGCGCTCAAATGCATGATTGGGCTTATTATCTGGGGAGGTCTTATTTTTGGAGAAATGGGGTATTTTTCTGGCATGGGGGATCAAGAGGTAAAGTGAGCCCCATAATGTGTGCGTTGAGTGCTTTCTCAGTTGCCATATGTCTTGCTTTTTTTTTACTCTGGGTCTTTATTGTTATTTAATCTTTCATTTTTTTTGTATTTTGTATTCTGTTAGCCATCAGAAGGAAGATGGGTTGTCATATAAATCTATTAAAATGCAGATCAGCATTAAGGAGCAGAGTGATGTATGTCCTTTGTAGGTATGCAATTATTCTGGAGATCTGATCTCCAAAATCTCCAACTAAGGTGATCAGCTAGTAATATTTTTTAAATTTAAAAAAAAATTCTGTTCCAGATCCAGATATGAGATCTGTTGTTAATTAATATTATTATTGCCTGGCTATATGAAATGGACTAGTGGCCCTTTATTTCTCATTGTCAAAGTAAATGTACATGCTCTTGTATGATTTCATCCACTGACCTCATTTAATTGGCTAATTATCGCATGCATTTTGTAATTCATGAAAATGTGTTGTCTTTACACCTAGTCTGGAATACCAGAATGATTATCAGAACATGATACTATTGTTAAGTTACAGTATTGACATACATGTTATCTATTTTTGTGCAGGTATGTGTTCATATACATCAGAGGTCTTCAAACCTGGCAACTTTAAGCTTGTGGAATTCAACTCCAAGAATTCTGAGAATTGAAGTCCACAAGTCTTAAAGTTGCCAAGTTTCGGGACCCCTGATATACATGTTTTAGAAAAGTAAAAAATCCTGGCAGAGGAACTTTTTAAAAAGTACAAGCAAACAGCTATAAAAAGAACATCATATATATTATTCCATTAAGAGTAAAGTAAGGAAGGACTACTGTTTACCTTAAACAAGTACTGTAAACAAAGATGTGGAACTAGGTTAAAAATATTATAAAAGAACTGTGGCTCTCAAGAAGTTTTGTAAATGCTTACACAGATGCTTTGTAATTTTTAACTTACCGGAGGCCTTCTACCATGGCTAGTTTTCACAGCCTGTTGAAAAGCTGGATCATTCTCTAAATCCTAGAAAAACATACAAAACTATGAATGTCGACTTTATTGTAAATAGTCAAATAGTCAGCCTTTTTCTTTAAAAATTGTATTTATTAGTATATAAATATATTTATCTTGTATTTATATATTTATATTAAAATGCATTATGTGGACTGAATTTATTCTACACATTTATGCTTCTATACAAATGACAGATACATGTCAGCTACCATTCCTTCTTCTTCTTTACTTCCTCTTTACTACTTAGAGTATTGAGGGAGACTATTATAATAGACTACTATTATATTACTACTACTACTCCTTAGCAGCATAATAAAACTCATTGATAATATCCTCTGGTATTTAATAAATTTTAAAATATATATGTTTTATCAAATTTACTATATATTTGCATTTGTGCAAACCTGATTTACTTACATTTGTTTCCTTTTCTTTCCTTTTATCTTATCTCTTACTTTTAGTTTATTCTTTTATTCTTTTTCTGGGCTTTGATAATAATACAACACAAAAGAATCAAACAACTGGTAAATATGTGGTATATTTTACCTCTGTATCAAAAGTAGGGTTATAATCATTATAACCAGAATAAAGATCATCTTCATCTGCTTCGGGTGCCAAGTGGACATTTTTCATCATTTTAATCTGTACAACATTAAAAGTATCAAAATACTGACTTTCAATTTTTAGCATATCTATCAGACCCTGCAATGTTTCTATAAAATCTGCTTGCAATTGTAATAATTGACTTCATCATAAACTTATACATTTTTAAAAACAAACAAGGTTATGCCCGAAAATGACAACATCGGGAAAGGTCGAGTCTAAAATTCTAAGATCACAACTGAAGGCTGTAAACCAAGTGCTGCTCTCTTTCTCAATACTCCGGCATGCTTTCTCTCTTGAGACAAATTGTCAACAAGGACAGTTTTGCCGGCAGTGCATGTGAAAGAAAAAAATAAGAGAAAAAGCCAAGACACTGAGAGCCCAGTTTTCATTATGATGCAGCAGCAAAACAGCAAATGGTAAGGGAATGCAGCTTTGTGTCTATTCACTAAGAAGTCCCCCTGACATAATGTGACTTTCTCTTAAGAAAACACGTTTTATCTTTCTGATCAATCTTGTCTGATTGTGGAATACTGCCTAGATCAGTGTTTCTCAACCTTGGCAACTTGAAGATGTCTAGACTTCAACTCCCAGAATTCCCCAGCCAGCATTCGCTGGCTGGGGAATTCTGGGACTTGAAGTCCAGACATCTTCAAGTTGCCAAGGTTGAGAAACACTGGCCTAGATAAGTCCATGCAGTATTCTAAGCAAGTTTTTTCTCTCTCCCAGAAATGGTTTGCCATTGTCTCCTTCCTATAGGGCTAAGATGACTACAAGGTCACCTTGCTGGCTTTATGGCTAAAGCAGACTAGAACTCACAATCTCCCAGTTTCTATCCTGATCCTTTAACCATTATACCAAACTGATTCTCAAGAAAACAAGTACAGTATAAGTTAAGTAATCTTAACACTACAATTCAGAAGCTAGTCTACTGAATTTAAAAGAACTTATTCCAAAATTGGTGTCACAGGACTGAAGTTCAGTCTGTGTATGTGATCCCAAACACACTTCTAAGGCAGTCATTCTGGAAAGTATAATACATTCTATTAATATTTTCACATGCTTCTCAGGAGCGGTTGGTTATATCACTGCCCTGTTAGTAACATCGGAAACTCATTTCAGAAATAATAAAAAATATGATCCTAGCTCATTACAATCTCACATTAACACCAGCACTAAAATGGGCACCAGGGTGCTGGGATACTAACCCCAAATACAAAGCTGATTTTGCTGGCAGGGGTTTAGAGCCAAATTGTGTGGGTAAATATATTCCTCCAATCATGCAATCCTAAAGTTTAAAGGTCCAGGCTAGCCCTCTAAATTAGGATAAGATATAGGCAGTCACTGGCACAGAATCATACTGCATAGTTTCTGAACAACTATGGCAATCAGATCATCTTCAAAGGGATTTCCATGCAAAACATGTGGCAACAACCCCCTTGAGAAATAACCAGAGCAAGTCTGGAGAACAATTCTGCAAACTCCACATAAGGCTATAGCCAGTTTCTTTAAAGATACTTCTGGCCACTATCCAATTCCCAGGTTGCAGTACCTCATCCTAGGTAAGATTCTTTAACCATTGGATGAAAATGGGTTTTAGGAAGGAAAAGTATTCACTGTAATTCCTTGGTGTTGATTGTTGTGAGCTGTCCAGGGTCATTGGAAGTTGGACAGCATGCAAGTTTAATAAACAAACAAACAAACAAACAAACAAATAGAAAGTCCTTCCCTGACTTGAGCAGGGGGTTGGACTAGATGACCTCCAAGGTTCTTTCCAGCTCTATTCTGATTGATTGACTGAAGGCACAAGCCTAGCCGCCTCCCGCGAATCTCCAATCATTTACTTCTGTCAAGCAACAGGGGGAGAGTTTTGATTTAACGCTCACCTGGCTGAGCCGTTCCAAGGTCGAGAGCTCCAGCAGTGATGGAAACGATCAGAATCTGTAAAAAGGCAGGGGAAAAAAAAGGAAGGATGTTAATCGGCTCAAATCCTTTCTTAAAACAACCCTTAACAGCCACCGCCAGCATACTTGGAATTTTTCCGTGTCCCGCTATCTCCCAGATAACCTAAGCCTCCCTCCCATTAACGCGGCTTTTTTCCTTTGGCTCTTCCCAAACAAAGCGGCTTCGCAGGAGAAAAGCGACCCTCGTTGTTTTGAAATATAGGGCCTGGACTCTCAAGCCCACAATGCATCACTTCAGGTTGCTAAGGAACAAGAACGCTCTTTTAAGGAGGAAGAAAATATCCGAACATGCGCAGTAACCCACAACGAAGCTCCCGCTAGCTAATTATTGCAGCGGTGAGTCATAGCTAGAAATCTGGCAGCAGAGGTTAAAAAACAGAAAGTAAGGAGCATTGCAAAGAATAGCTAGTAAATACTGATTTACAGTATTTCTCTCCAATTTTTCGTGCTTCAGATTCTACCAGGCTCCAGCCAATATATCATGTTGGCTGGGAATACTATTATACTTCTATATATTTTGTAGTACAACTATATTTGTGGGGGGAATAAGGGATTATGTCTTGGCTGATTTAAAAAATTAAGCAGTGTCAGACCTGCTTAGACTTTGGATAGGGGGCAACCAGAATCACATTGTTGTTTAAAGAAACTATATGGATACGCTGATATGGTCATCAGAAGTGAAGTTCAACTTGAGAACATCATTTTTAGCTTTTTCATTTGTACATCTTTCTATTGGCTTACTGAAAATGGGCAGTGTTTATAATGAATAAAATTCTGCTAAAGGGGTGGGTTTTTTTAATTCCACAAGTATTATGTAAGATTAATAAATGAAGACACATTTCTTAAATCACTAAACACATTTATAGTTATTTAACCAGAAAGTAATTGTGCAACTTAAATGGCACAACTTGATGCTGTTTAGTGCAATCTGTTCTTTAAAAGCAGCTGTGTGGGATGGAATCAGATCCAAATCTATCTCCTTATATATCATTTGTTGAGTGAAATGTTGCATGCCTGCTATATAAAGGGACAAGTAGCTAAAATATTGCATTAAACCACCAGGATTTTTAAATGACAAACAAATATCACTAGTTTTTACAAAATAAAATAATGGTGATGCTTATTACTAATATCTTGAAAAAGTTTATTGAAATAAACTCAGAGATTTACTGTAAGAATAGGAACAAATCTAAATGGAAAACCCACATTTCTATCAGTTATTTTAAGTGAACTTTCCTGTTATTATTCGCGATACAATTCTTAGTGAATTGTACCAATTTAGTAAGAGGCTACCAGACTCCACTTTAAGTAAATTTCCCACGCATCTAAATAATGGACAATAATTTACTGCTACTGTAATATTATAATCTTATTTAATTTAATGTATTTCATGTGACATACTAGTGCTTATAGGATATGGTTTAAAAATTATTGGTGTATAAAAATAACACATTTTAAAAGTGTTTTTAAAAAGCTAGGAAAATGAACTTCAAACAATTACTACTTTTTATTCAAGCACGGTATCAAGATCACTTGACAAAAGTTCACAAAAAAAAAGCAATTGCATATTTTTAAAAATAATTTTTAATGGCTCCTCATTTTGCAATTATTTAGGCACATGAAAATGAAAAGAAGGAAAGCAATGTTTCTTTGTATTGTACAACATATAGAGCTGGTTTATAAAGGCCTGTTGATGAAGGCCTATCAATATCAATAGACAATCAGTGTAAATATTTGTTCATGATACCCTTTAGTGTCACTTTCCCCTCCTGTCTCATCAGTAGATTAAACATACTTGTTTGCATGGTAAAACTTTATCTAAATCAAGAAGAATCTGCCTACAAAGAGTGGTTACCCCATGAATCCTTCCCTTGATTCCTTTGGAAGTCAACAGTCTATCATTATCTTTTATTTGCAGGATCATCTAAAGCTCTTTCAATTTTCTAGATTTCTTTGGAAAATGCTCCTCATATTTTTTTTTTCTAGGATTAGAATAGGAATAGACTTGCTGCAATATTTTCAAGTTTAGCTTTAATGCTATCTACAATCCTATGCACAAAAAAGTATGCAATTAAATATATTTCTCCCCAAAGTAAATTGCAGTGAATTCAATGTGACTTTTGCTACAACAGGCATATATAACAATAACTTTCTACTTGGGATGGTTTTTAACAGGGCTGCTTATTAAAAATTTGAAGTAAGAAGATCAAAAATGAATAGCAGGCTATGCTTTTCTAAAAAAAATAAATTACATGATCATATGATTGTACAGTAGATTGGTGGGTTTTTTAAAACCTAGTAAATTAAAACTTCATCTAAGATTTAAAAATAAAGTGGTTTCTAATATTTTGACAATCTGAAAATGGAAATTGCAGCTCATATTTTAATCAAGATCAAATTAAATGTATTTAAATCTGTATATTACTGATAAACCAATGTTTTAATTATTCTGCATTAGTGTTTTGTTATTTTTGCCCTTGATATATCTCAAACTTTAATGTATTTTTTCAAATTATACCATCCACACATCCAATCTTAAAATCTTGTTAATTATGTCAGCGTGATCTTTAACGCCTTTGCTTTTCCCATTGCTTCTTTTTCTTTCAACATAATTTTGCCTGAAGCAAACTGAAACTTTAAATAATGGCAATTACATTCATATTGTTCCCAAATAAAAGTTGGCAATCTCTTTCCATAAAGCAGGCAAACATGAAATTCAAAAATATTTCAAAAATATATGACTTTGCATGACAGGCGCTCAAACAGAGAAGATGATGTTGGGAGCCCTGTAAGATCTGTTCATACGTTGTTTTGACGACTTGGCACCTCCATCATTGACATGCAGAGCAAGATTAATGGCTTCCTTTTTGGTAACTCACACCAGCCACTTAGTTTTAATATAAGGATCCCACAAGGTCTGATTCTGTCCCCAGTGATTCCCAGAGAAAGGGGAAGTAAGTGGCGGGGGGGGGGGGGAAACACGACATTGACTCTGTTGGGTCCACGACTTCCATGGAAGAGACACCCAGAAAGGGAAAGTGAGCGAGGGAGCTTTCTGATCTTTTGTCTCGAGGGATCAAAATCACTGGATCCCGATCCCCCACTGGCCCTTCCGGAAAAGAAGAGCAAAACAAACTTCTCCACTTTGATCCCTTCAGCTTCTTTGACTCCAGCTCCATTCCCCAAACACTAATGGGTCGGGGATTATGGGATCTGGTCCTAGCACATGCGCCCAGACTGGGGGCAAGTGCTTAAACCCTAAAGCAAAGAATAAGGTTCGGATCCCTGGTTTTTCCGAAGGAGGAAGGCGGAGGGAAGATGGAGGGAGAAGAAATACAGTCGGAAATGGGGTGGCTCGTAAAGACACGGTCGCTCTCCGCAGATTTACAACCGGAACCGGTCGGAAGGAAAGAGAAGAGCCATAAGCGACACGGCTCCCTGATCCCGAGGCGTCTCCCCGTATCGACTCTCTATCCTAATAATTAAGTGAACGTGTTGGGTAACACCTCGGAGTCGCGGGTTCGAGCAGCTGTTTGGGGCACCCGGACAGCCAATAGGAACCATCCTTTTCTGGCAACCAATGGAAGTGGCTGTAACATCCCCGAAGTTGGGGGTGGGGAGGACGCGTTCCCTTTTAAACGGGAGGTGGTGGCCCAGGTGGTGTTCTCTTTGCCAAGCCCGCTTCCTCTGCCGAAGGGTCTGCATTGCTCCACCACCATGAATCCTACCCAGGAGGGACGAATTGCGATTATTGGCAGGTAAATCCTTCGATGCACTTGGGTTGCTCCTGCTTCCTGTGCCCAGAAGAAGAGGTAGGGCAGTTAAAACAGGAGGAGCTCAGAAGGTGCTTGACGTTTCCCAGCCCCCACGTCCAAGGGGGGCAGGATGATGCAATTATAGGTGCAGAATTCAGTAGCCATGAAAAGCCCCACTGGCACAACCTCCATCAGCACTTGTTGCACAGAGCTTTGGAAAAAGCAAATGACTGCTCTTATCCCATGTTTGACCCCTTTACTTGGTAGGTTATCTTGGATCAAGAGATGGTCCCAGGAAAAGGAACAATTATTTTTCTTCCTGTTCCCTCTATCATTTGGAACGGGTATGCAAAGTATCTTATAGGCCATACTATTTCAAAAGTTCCATAAAGGACAAAGACAATTTGCGAGAAGCTAATTTGCAATGTGAGGGTCTGTTCTTATCTTTTTGGAAGTTAAAGTAGAACTAAGTCCCTCTTTGGCCTTCTGTAGCTTTTAAAATGACATCCAGGGGGTATAATATTTTTTTTTTTTCTTTTTCTGAACTGCATCGAGTTGGAAAAGTGACAACTTTGTAGCTGAAATGACTTCTATTTTACATAAACCATTATGGGATAAAATTAATTTAGATTGTGCTTCTACAATATTTTTCCACTGAGTGAAATCTTAAGATGCTGCTGTATTTCATTTGATTGCTGATTTTTCCACCCTATTTATGATTCAACCGCAGCCCTTCAAATAAAAGGGTATGAACAGTGGTTTCCACAATGGCTTCCCAGACTGCAGAATTTAGAGGTATTTGGAGCATGTTTATTTTAGATTGTCACATGGTCTTTGGTTCAGATAGCAGTTAAGGTCTACTACATGAAGTCATGCCTCATTCACCAATGGTATGTAGGAGTCAAGTAAGGTTTTGCCTAGTTTGCCACAGGTTTTGGGGCAGCAACCAGGAAAGAATTTAAATGTCAGCATTTGAAACGATTCAGTGATCAAGGAGCAAAGCTCGGTCACCAGCCTTTTCTGTGTTTAAAATGTTGATTTGTACTATACTGCAGCATTTACTTAAGATATATGATTAGAAATATGTGATTACAAATATAGAGAGGAGGTAGATCTTAATTTTGAATGTTGTGGAATAAAAAAGGGAAGAGCATGTCTGTTTTTATTAAGCTAAATTGTCTGTCCTTCTAACCTGAAATTTAGAATATAAAAACATTATTAACATCATAGAAAAGTTTGGGCTACCGAAGTAGAACTGGAAAAGGTGCTAGCAAAGAGATGCAGAAGACTTTCTTTGCTCTTATCTAGTGAACAAGTGGAGTCTAACTCACTTTGCAGGCCAAATATGATAAACCTAATAAAACATGTAATGATTATTTTGCGTAACACATATAACTGAATATTTAATTGGAACTTCAGTACATTGGATTATAAACCAGCATTGAATGGATTTGGTTGAATTACACCAAAA